TAAAATTAAATGAGTGCTATGAAAAAAAGGAAAAGGTAGTGTAATTGGAAGGGCTAGTGTGGGAGGCAGGTGATGCTCAAAATTGGATGCACAACAAATGCCTTGCTAAAAACTGACAATTGAGCAAATACTTCAAGATGATGAGGGAGTTGGTCCTGCTGATATCTGGGGATAAAGTTTCACAGGCACAGTCAATCGTGAGTACACATTCCCTAGAAAGTGGGAGTCTTCATGACTAGTTGGAGAGTCTACAAATAGAACAGTATGGTTGAGCCCCAGTGACAGGGATAAGTATGGCAGATTAGGACAGAGAGGTGATGGAGTTGGTGAGCCAGATATATTTCAAGGTCTTGTATGCTACTTTATTTTTTTAACTTTAAAAATGTTTTAATAATTAAAGTTATTTAATCCAATGTGTCTCAAATACTATCATTTCACTAGATGATTGGCATAAGAAATGGTGGTATTGTTTTTTTTTTGTCGTGCTACACCTTTGAAATCTGATGTATATGTTACATGCACAGCACGTTTCAACTCAAGCAACATTTCAAGTGCTCAAAAGCCATGTGTGACTTGTGGTTGCCGTACTGGACAGCACAGTTCTAAGAGAAATATAAAAAGTACTAGAATTGACTTTTGTAAACTTAGGAGGTTTTCATTGCCCTCCATCAACGGCCTTAATGTGTTACTAAGGCATTTAACATATGGATGATGAATTTTTAAAAAACAAATTAGTTTCACTCTGAAAGAATTTGGGAACTAGTGGAAGGTCTGAGAAAGGGCCAGACATGGTCTGATTTACATATTAAAAGAATTCTTCTGGCTGCTTTCAAGAGAGTAGATTGAGAAGGGACAAGAATGGATGGAAGCCAGGAGACCAGTTAGCAGGCTATTGCAGTGATCCAGACAATTGGTGCTGGTGCCTCAGGCTACAGTTGTTAAGAGTATGAATAGCTTTTAAACATGGAGTCCAAAGAACTTGATGATGAATTAAATTTGATGTGTGAGAAGAGAGGACTCAAGCAACCGTCCAACTGGAAGGACAGAGTTACAACAACTGAGATGGCAAAAGACAAATACAAAAACACAAGAAGAATATATTTTAGCTGTTATTTAATAATAATATTGACTGATATTTCTGTAGAAAATTCAAGCTCAACCTAGGCAACTTAGTGACTTAGGAAGATTCTACCTCAAAACAAAAAACAAAAAAGGGCTGGGGATGTAGTTCAGTGTGAAGGCCTTGGGTTCAATTCCTAGTACTGAAAAAAAATCCACATAATTCTCATTGTTGTAAAGGCTCTAGAGAAATAGGCATTCTGGAACACTGTTAATGGAAATATAAATTTATAAAAAATTTCTGGTGGGCAATTTTACAGTATACCCAAATTTTAAATATTCAAGCCCTTCAATAATTCCATTTCTAGGGACTCAATCTACAGAAATAATCACACAAAAGAGCAGAGACGTAAACAAAAGGGTGCTAACCTAGGGAAACGGATGATCATTACATCATTGTTTATAATAGCGAAAAATTTGAAATAATCTAAGAATTCACAAATAGAATGATTATATTAGTTGTAGTATCTTTATGTCGTGAGCTACCATGAAGCTTTAAAATAGAAAGAATAGAAGTAGTTGGGCATAATGTCAGAGATAATAGAATACTTGTATTAGTAGAATAGATAATAGAAAATTTCTTCTACCTTCTCTGCCCTCACTGGATTCTGAGCCACCAGCACCAAGCACCTGGATTACTTCAATGGCCTCCTAAGTGGCCTCCTTGCTTCTATGTTTATCCACTCTCAATGTACTCTCACCACAAAACCAGGAGGATCCTTTTAATATGTAAGTTAGATAATGTCTCACCTTTGTTCAGATCCTCCACTAGTTCCCAATTTTTCTCAGAGTAAAAAAGAAAAAACTAGAGAAAAAAAAAGAAAATTATAGAACAATCTGTATACTAGGATCACTTCCATGTTAAGAACAAAAAACCAAAAAACGTTAGGCTAATTGTGTAGCTCAGTAGTAAAGCATTTGCCTAGCATGTGTGAGGCACTGCATTCCCTCCCCCAGAACCAGAAAACAAAAAATAAAGAACAAAACAAACAAAAAACAACATGTGTGTATGCGTGTGTAAGTGCATAGAAAAAGTTGTGGGAAAAATGCTTAACTTCTGAGAAAAATGCTTAACTTCCATTGTGAGCCTCAGTACAGAATTATATATTTGGATGAATAAATGGGGACAAACTATTGTTTCTTTTGTGTACAGTACTTACTTGTTTTTATGAAATCCCTTTGCAATGCAATTGTACTGTTTTTGTAATTTTTTTAGTAAAAACCAGGGATAAATCACATATCATGTAAGTTCCCACAGAAGAATCCTGTAGGCAGAAGTATTTTTATTACATTGTAATCACACTGGGCCATTGTGCAGTGTGATGGGAACAGCTTCGAATGGGTGCTATGTGGCCTTGAGAAAGAAACAATGTTTCTGATCCTCAGTTTTTCCATACAGAAAACGTAGCTAATGCCTGCTTTATTTGTTTTATTGGACAGCCATGAAGACAAAATGGAAAAATAGTTTAAAGCAGGGTAAAAATAAGAATACTAATATTTTTTAGCAATTAGTCAACATCAAAATTCAGTTGCAAGCAAAGAATTTGGATGATCTCTTTAAATTTAATAGAATTCATTCTGTCCCTGTTAGATTTTACATAGCGGTGCATAGATATTTTACCTACATGTTCAAGAGTGTTTTTTATGTTTGTATGAGATATTTTAGTGCAGATGGGTTTCAGCAATACCCTTATATCAGACCCAATTTAGGGCCGATCAGCTTAGATACACTGAATTCATCAACAAATTATTCTTTATTTAGCACCTACTTTTTGCTTAGCATTTCCCTATGGATAGGTGGTCACGGATCCAGGTTTGTCTGGGACTGTCCCAGTTTATGCTGTCGGTCACAGTTACTTGGTAATAGTGCCCCTTTCACTCTAGCAAATGTTCTAGTTTTAATGATCACTTATGTGGTCACTTTGCTATAGTAATTTACAGGGCATGGAAAGAAACGCAGAATCCCCCGGATTACAAACAACAGTCTTACAAATTTCTTTGCCTATCCTGCCTCCATACCACTGGAAATGACTATTTTGAGGAACCCATTGTGAAAACTTTGAGTCTTTTGTATACTTGATTGACACAGAGGTCAAGGCAAAACCAAGAGTGAAAAGAGCTGGTACCAACTTCCTTAGGGCCGTCTTTATTTATATCTATATCCTGTTCTGCAAAACTTCTTCCCCTATACCATTTCTATTTAATGCATTGACTAGTCCTCCTGGCAGAGATTTATTTGGAGAACACAAGCATTCTGTTTTCAGAAGTATAAGAGGGTTGGGGAATGTTCATGAAAACTGATTTTCCCCCTCCAAACATGGAACTTATATTTCCTTGCACAGAGGATGGGAGTGTTTCTTGGAGGAACACAGATAGAAAGAAAAAGGACTGTAGAGTATTGGCTGACTCTAAGTGGCTGAATTACTCTGATTTTATAAAATGTGAATCTATGGTATGTGGAGCTCAGAGAGAGGAAATAATTAGGTAAATAGAGATCTTTACAGAGGTTAGAATGACTGATCTGCCCTAAGAATATGCTTGGATAACAAGAGGAGGGAGGAGAAAAACCTAGAGTGACAGAAGTCACCTGGAGCCAAAGGTTTCTATCCTACATGAGCATGGATGGAAAATCTAAGGAAGCAAAATGACTTAGTGAAATGTAGCAGGAAATTGACTTGCTTAAGTTAAGATGGGGTCAAATATTTTCTGTAAATTAAAGCTCATAAAACATATCACTTGAAACGTAGGCATATTTCATGTGACTAAACCCTTTGAGGCAATAAATCTTGACAGTATTTTTCAGGTGGCTGGATTAATGTGGCTCAAGTTCAGATATGCTGAGGATCAAATCATGGAAAGCCGGGAATTCAGGTGAAGGACTTTGGACTTGCTAAGAGTCTTTATAAGTTATTATTAAAAATACTTGACTAAGATTAGAACATTGGCCTATTGCTGGTACATAAGATTGTGGAGGAAGACTGGAGGACCATTTACGAAGCTACTGTGGTAGGCAAGAGGTGAGGAGCTGAACATCTGGACCAAATGGAGGCAACAGACTGGAGAAGTGACAAACCTGAGAGCCACTATAGAAGAGGAACCAACACAATCTAGAGATCACAGAGAAGAGCCAGAGGAGATCTTTAGATTTCCCAGGGTAACATAAGCATGAAAGGAGCTTTATTAGAAGTTCATGTTCACATGAAGGCTTTTCATTTGTGCAGTCTCCCATGCCTTCCTCGTGAACCCCCATTTCCAAAGAAGCCCTATAACATCTACTCAGTAAATTAATTCCCCAAAAATTCATATTCATCTAATGAAAGTCTTGAAGCATTCATTTACTAATCTTATTTTGAAAAATTACTTAGTGAATAAGTGCTACAAAATGTTGAACTTGGGAGACATAAGCTTGTAATTCATTCTATTGCCATTTGTGGTAGAGGGTAGTGACCATTGCCAGTACTTCAAAAAGTGAAATGTCCCTAGTTTATTCACATAGAAATGAATGATTTTTCACTTCATAACCCGTGTCCTTTCTATGAACCCTGTCTCCCCAGGATAACTTATAGCACCAATTTACGAACATAATTTGTAAAAGGAGGTTAGTGAATCAATGCTATAAGACTTTCATGGAAATATATGAATTTAATTATCCTTGTCAGCTTTTATTGCATGGGTTCTCTTCCAACAATATCTTTCCCCCCAGGTACAATTTTTAAAGATTGATTTTAAACAATGAGACTTAGAGAATCTGTGTACAAAGAGCTTGAAGAATTTAAATATCTGAGTTTATTATTAACACAGTAGCAAATATATCAAGGAAACACCCCATGAAAAATGTTTCAAAGAAACAGAAGTCTTCTCTGAGAAAGTTCTGTACCCAATAAGTAAGCTCAAAGAGGCATGTTTGCTTGGTAATGCGCAGAAGATAAGCTTGGCAAACCTCTAGCTGATTGAGGAAGCCAGTTTGAGATTCAGCCTAGTTCAGGCAAACGACTGGCACCTACTATTGTCAAAGCTGAACAAGATGGTATTCACATATTGGAAGGTTTTTCTGATCCTCAACTGCCTTACAGGTAAGGAGAAAATCTCCAAATCACCAAAGATAATTGAATATTGGTGTTTTCTTTTAGATTGAAGTTGCAAATTTTTACATAGAATTTTCCTCTCCTGTACTTCAAAGGAATTGTGATTAGCATGCTGAATAATTTTCAGAACTCTTGCTAAGCAAATACAGGGGGGCAGCCTATGATAAAATTGATATGAAGCTTCTGAATTGAATTTCCCTCAGAGAAAGTTACAGTACCTTTCTCTCCTTAGAAAGGTGAACAAATTAATTTGTTAAGAAATGGAAGTTGTACTAAAGATACTTATTTTTCTCTACTTTACTTTGGAATTTCCTTTAACTGTGATTGATTTCCTTGGCTACAGCAGGCAGAGCCTGGGTTTGAGCCTGTTCTGGCTTACATGTAGGAAGAAGAGAGATTTACTCAATGCTTTATTGTCTAATATTTCTTAGGGAGCTGCAGTTTTCCAATCCTAAGGCTTTATTTTGGAAAATATGTGAGTGATTTATTATATCGTACATAATATGAGTGATTTTTGGAATTTGAACAGAACAAAATAATTTCTAGTGTCAAAAATCCCCAAAACGGTTCAATGCGGTAGAGATTACTAACTCAGGAAATGCCTTGGCCAGTTCTTTTAAATATCAAATATATTTTGAACCTCTTCTTATGATATGTAGGTCCAAGGTAGATACAATAAATATTTCTTATTGACTAAAGACGATATTGTAAAGCCATCAGTAATGTTAGGCAGTGGTTAAAATGAAGTTTATTAAACATATTTAGTGACACAAGAAAATGCTCAGGATAAAATATTAAGTGAAAAATCAGGACATACACATACCTATAATGAATTACTAGAAGGTCATATACTGAAGCACTCATGGTGGTCAACTCTGAATGATGGAATTATAGATGATTTGGGTTTTACTCCCCAGCTTCCATACTTTCTACTTTTTCTAAAAAGAATATTATACTTTCTTTTTTGGTGGTGATGGTGCTGAGGTTTGAACCCAGGGCCTCACACATGCCAAGCAGACACTATACTACTGAGCTTTATCCTACCTGTTATACTATTCTAATAATTAGAAAAAAAGTGTTACTTTTCATAACTATCTTGTGGTTGGTAACAATTCTTTAAATACTCATTATTGAATGTTTAAAGATGTATCGAGTAAAAGATCAGGGAGGGAAATACTGATTTAACCAGGTCATAAAGCTGGAAACATATGGTATTCTTTTCCTCTCCCTTAAGAATATTCATTAAAATGTAATTTTATTTTATTTATTTTTTGGATGTCATTTGTATCTAAAAAAATTTTTTTAAATGTAATTTTAGACAGTGAAAGTTTTTGTCTCTTCTTAAGAGTACTTCCAATTGGGTTAAACCCCAGGCTGTCTACACTATTGTCAACATCTACTTCCCTATGTGAGGCCTGACCCTGGCCTATACTAGACATAGCATTTGAAATAGTTGCAAGAATACACACACACACACACACACACACACACACATAATTGTTTTCACTGATCATAGGCAAATGGATGATCATTATGGAAAAGTTGTAATGCATGGAAATGTATAAATAAGAAAATATAAATCACCGGCAATCTTACCCATTAAAAGTTTGATGAACTTTATGTCATTTTTTTTCTTTGAAAAAAAAATATATTACATTAAGAATGAGGCTAGTACTCTGTATATATTTTTTTCATTTTAATTTTAGTTCATTAGTATACATGTGTAGTACATAGTGTTTTCATTACTTGTGTGGAGTTGGCATTGTACATAACACATCTTACTTCCTTTTTTCATTTCCTTTCTCTTCCTGCTCTCCCTCCTCCATTCATCTCTTGATTTCCTTTTATTTCTTTTTTGTGGGGTACATGTTTGCAGTATATGTTTACAGACCTTGTGTGGAGTTCGTACATGTACATGATACATCCCAATTCCTTTTTTGTTCATCCTTTATCCCTTCTTTCCTTTCCCTCCATCTCCTGATCACCTTTCCCTTTGAGAAAGCTCTGTCTCTCTACTTTCTACTATCTATCTTCTATTTTGCTTTTTATTTTTGCCCTGGGTTTCCCATATAAGAGAAACCATGTGATATTTAAGCTTGTGTGTCTGGTTTCTTTCACTTTACATTATAGTATTAAGATGCATCCATAAATATTCTATTGTTGAAAAATTATTTAGCTTGCTGTTGGGATCTTATCTGTGGCTATTAGAGCAAGGTGCAATTCAAATGACCAGTAAATACTTTGGAGAGTTTTCCTTAAATTATTACAGAGCTAGTATTGTTGGTATACAGCATATGCCATATGATATAGCCGCACCAAAGCAAAATATGGTAGTGAGTCCATTTGTAATATACTTCCATACATATGGAAATCAGAGAAAGGAATATTGAGGTAATTCATATAATCCATTCACACTGATCCAGAGCACTTCGATGATTCAGCTCCATCTGTTGATCTAGATGTGACTGTGGGACAACAGATAATGTTTCCATCATTGTGCAATTGATGTCCTACCTGCACTTATTTCAGAGATAATGTCAAGCATGGTTCCTGGCACAGAGTGGGTACATGGTAAATGTTTGTTGAAAGAATGAATTACTTTCTCAAACCTCAAATACCCAGAAATAATTTTCATATACATACCTAACATAAATTCTCTGTGCAACTAAACACAGCAGATTTTATTTCAAACAATATTTTCAGTGACTTCTTAGGAGGTCTTAATTTAAATTCGAAGTCAAAAAAAGTAATTTTTAGGGCCGGAGATTTAGCTCAGCAGTTCGGTGGCCTGCCTTGCAAGCGCAAGGACCCAAGTTCAAACCAACAAAAAAAAAAAAAAAAAAAAGTAATGTTTAAAATTAATTTTATTGGTGCCCTTTTGGTATACATAATGATCAGATTCATCATAGGAAATTTGTACCTGTACATGATATATCTTTGTTTCCATTAAGTTTATTGGTGCATTTTAGGTATACAGTACAGTTACACACTCATCATTAGGATCTTGTTCCTTTACATGATGTATTTTGGTTCTCATTTTTCCCCATACCTCTGCCCTCCCTTCACCCCCTCCACACTTCCCTACTTACAAAGACTTTGTTTCCATTTTTTCCTTTTCTCACATTTTCTCTTTTCCCTTTGTTCCTTTCCCCTACCCCTCCCAATTCCCCTACTCCTTTAGACCTTTTCTTCCTATTTCACAAAGTCAGTTATACATTTTGGTCCTTATTTACACTTTTAGTTTTTCACACCAGAGAAACTACTTGGTATTTACACGTGTGTACATGATATATCGTGATTCTTCTTTTCTTTCCCATTCCCTTTCCCTCCCTTCAACCATTCTTCCCCTCATTTACTAAAGCTTTGTTTCCATTCTTTTCCTTCTATGCACTTTTTTTCCTTTTCCCTTTCTTCCCTTCCCTCTCCCTCCTCCCTTGTTCCCCTTCCCACTTGAACACTTTCTATAAGGATCAAAATTGATGATAGATATTTGGAAGAAAAAGTAATTTTGATAAAAAATTTCTTCTGCAAAAAATCATGTGTATCATTTTATGTAGTATGTGTTAGTCACCTCCTGGAAAGATATGTTAACGTTGTTTTCATTTCCTGGAGATACATATATATATTATGTTTTGAAAGCACTAATATATTTAAAAAGTTAGTAATCATTTGCTTATATTATTGTGTAACTCAAAAAAGAAGTAATTATACATAAAGACGTTGGAAGCCAAATCAATTCAAATGCATCCAGTTAGATATGGCCAATTGGGTAATATTTTTGCTGGGGTATATAAGTTTGATTGTCACCCTACAAATAAGCAAATTCCTTGTCCCATTGTAGATGTTAAAAAATGAATGAACATTTATTAAAACGAAATATTTTTATTTTTTCTTTTTATTGAGTTTATTGGTACATTCTAGGTATACAATACAGTTACATTCATTATTGGGATGTTGTACCTTTACATGACAGGTCTTGGTTCTCATTTTTTCCCCTCTTCCCTGCCCTCCCTTCAACTCCTCCTCCCCTACCCATTTACAAACATTTTATTTCCATTTTTACACTTTCTCATATTTTTTCTTTTGGCTTATTAACTTTCCCCTACCCTTCCCACTTTCCCTACACCTTTAGCCCTTTTCTTCCTATTTCACATTGTTAATTACCCATTAGGATCTTGTGCAGTATTATAGTTCTTCACACAAGAGAAACTATTTGGTATTTACACACGTGTGACTTATTTATTTCACTTAAGAGTATATCCTCAATATGTATCCATTTTCCTATGAATGACTCTAATTTCTCATTCTTTATGGCTGAGTAGTATTCCATTTTATAGAAAAACCGCATCTTCTTTATCCAGTTTACAACTGATGGGCACATGGGCTCTTTTCAAGTTTTAGCTATTACAAATGGTGCCGCTATAAACATAGGTGCGCATATGTCACTGTGATATGATTCTTTTAATTCTTTTGGAAAGATACCCAGCAGAGGGATGGTTGGGTCAAATGGAGCCTCAAGTCCCAGCTCTTTGAGGTATCTCCATATTGATTTCCACAGTGGTTGCACCAGTCTGCACTCCCACCAACAATAGAGAAGGGTTCCTTTCTCCCCACAGCCGAGCAACATCGGTTGTTCATTGATTTCTTGATAGCAGCCATTCTTTGTGGGGTGAGGTGGAATCTCAGTGTTGTTTTCATTGGCATCTCTCGAATGACCAGTCATGTGGAACATTTTTTCATATATTTACTTGCTGCTTTTACTTCTTTGTCTGAGAAATGTCTGTTCATTTCAGATGTCCATTTTTGAATTGGGTCTTAATATTTGGGAGACTGATTGTTTTGAGTTCTTTATGTATTCTAGATAATATTTCTTTGTCTGAGGAGCAGCTGGTAAAACTTTTTTCCCACATTGTAGGTTGTCTCTTAGTTCTGTTGATGGTTTCTTTTGCAGTGCAGAAGCTTTTTAATAAGATGAGATCCCAGTTGTT